TGTGAGTCTTCTTCCAGAAGCTTCCATTGAGTAAGGGCCGACAAGGTTCTCATAACCTTCCACGATATTCTGTAACCTTCCAAAGTATTCCATAGCTGAGGGTCTAGCCGAAGCTTCATATCGGTCCATAGACCGTGACAATAGGTAGTCTGTTGTTGAGAGGATAGGTTAAGTCCTATCTCTTAGTAACGCGGGCAGATCTTCTGGAAGAAGTCTGTCACGTCAAGGAAGGCCTGGAAGCCTTCATAATCGGTGATTAGCCCCTTAAAGTAGCGCTCTAGAGAGCCTATAGGTCCTAGAGGCTCCCTTCGACTATAAGGGTGGAGGATAGGCCACCGTTGCCTCCTCACTAGTGTCTTACGGCAGTAGACCAGGTGGTCTGCCTCTTTAGCCTCCCCGCAGGAGCAGGAAAGCAGTGCTTCTGTGTGGTTAAAGCGTTGATGATACTGTTCGAAGTCTCCGTGGCCTGATCGTGCTGCTGGGAGATGATGAAGGGTAGCTCTTGGTAGAGCTAGTTCAGGAGGGCAGCCAAGGGTGGCCTTAAGCCCCAGCTGGGTATAACGGGGGGGTGCCTCTTTCTTCCACCATTTTCTATGCTGGTGTTGTTTGCGTTCTTGAGCAAGCCGCTTGATCCCTGATAGGGTCGGCAGTAGGCCTCTGGGGACTGGCAGCGTTGTGCCCTCCTTAGCTAAGCTGTCAGCCTCCTCGTTTCCTTTTATCCCTTGGTGCCCTGGGGACCAGTGGGTTTGTATAGTATATATCCTGCTCACGGACCACGGCAACTCAGCAAGAGAACGCAGCTACTCAACAGCTATCGATTCAATACAGTGTCTTCTTACACCGCAGGGAATGATGCGACCTTCCCCGAGCCGAAAACTGCCACGGAAAGAAGAGACAAACGCGCTGATTACGTTGGAATTGCAACGCTCAAACTCCGAGAAACTGTAACCCAGGCCGAATTTCGGCTGGTGGACGACTCTTACGTTGGAAGCAATGGCGTGGCGCATGTGCATTTTCAACAAACCGTTGATGGCATTGACGTGGACAATGCACAATTTAATGTGAATGTTCGTTCTCCTCATCTATCATAGTATCTTTGTTGTGTGCCTAAATTGTAATCTTACGACAGATCTTGGGAGATGGAACCGTTCTATCCTTCGGCAGCTCTTTCTCTGGCCACACTCCAGAGATACCGAGCATTTCCAAGAGAACCGGCCCCTCCACCACTCCCCTTGGAGCTTTTCAGACAGCAGTTCAGCTTCTTGATCTTCCGATCACAGGTGTTGCCGCATCTACAGCGGAATCTATTGATGACGATGGCACATATGTCATTAGAGGCACTAGGGGCGCTGTGACCGATCCATTAGTAAAGCTGGCATATGTTCGAGTCAACGGTTCCGTTGCGCTGGCATGGAGAGTTGAGACCGACATTGGGACTAACTGGCTCCACACGTACATTGATGCCACAACCGGTAAAGACATCAGCGGTGTGGTTGACTACACAAATACGGCTACGTATGAGGTCTAGTGAGTGACTATTTTGACTTAGTCGTCTTTCCTGGACTAATCGGCTCTCAGTCCATGGGGGTCCATGAACCCAGATGAATCAGCGAGACAATCCGTTGCCAATCCAGAAGACAAGGCTAATTCGCCCTTTGGCTGGCATTCCGACGGTACTTAAGAATACACAACACTCCACGGTAACAATGCTTTTGTTACCATTTCATCAGGCAACAATCCCAGCTCTCCTGACCCGCTATTTTCGTATCCCTACTCACCAGCCGCGACGGATCCAGCATTATACGTGGAGGCGTCGGCTACCCAGGGATTCTACATCGTGAACAAATTCCATGGTATCCTCTACAAGCTGAGCTTTGACGAAGATGCTGGAAATTTTCAAACTAACAACAATGGCAAAGGTGGTGCTAGCGGCGACCCGCTTGAGCTTATTGTGCAGGCATCGGGAGGCTCAGCGCAGATCTATGTGCCGGCTGATGGAAGGAGCCCTCGTTTGTCAATGGGCCTATGGTCCGGTACTGCTCGGCGCGACAGCATGTTCGATGCGACAGTTCTTTTGCACGAGTACATGCACGGAGTTACAGGGCGTCTTGTGGGTGGTCCCGCTACCTCGGGCTGTCTTTCCGACATGAATGGACTTTCAATTAATGAGGGATACTCTGACTTCGTACCTACCCTCTTGCGCGTCAAGGAGGGTGACACAAGGAGCACGGATGACACAATCGCAGATTGGGCAACTGGTCAGCCGATTGGGCTGAGATCTCACTATGTCTCGACCAGTCTGGAGACGACTCCGCTGACATATTCGTCCTTGAATGATCTGGTCAGCACGGGAGGCTTTGATTTGGCTACTGTTTGGGCTTCAGTGCTATACGACGTGTTCTGGAACATGGTAGACACCTACGGAATTGGAGACGTGAGCGCTGTCAGCTTTGACGCGAATGGTGTGCCGCAGGGAGCTCGGTATCTGCTGCTGAAGCTCATTTTGGACAGTGAAGCTTCGATGCCATGCAGCGCGCATCATCTCCAAGCTCGAGACGCGCTCTTGGAAGCTGACCAGGTTTTGACTGGAGGCGCGAACAAGTGTTCCATTTGGAAAGGATTCGCTAGGAGAGGCTTTGGGCAGGATGCTGTCTACGGTTCTGGAACGAGGGGCCGAGTTGATGGGTTTGCTGTGCCGTCAGATTGCTAGGTTCCGCTTGATTTCGACCCGGGATGCACGCACAGGGTCTTGGACATAATTCGTTCGCTAGAATAACAAAATTACTATTACTTATCATCATGGAGTTTCTCATTGTCATTATAGTATCCCAGTAAGGTCTTCAACTGATATCGGCCGGGCGGGATGAGTCACGCCGCTGCTGAACTCCACATCCACGGCCCCATTTGATCATCGGAACGGAAAGGTCGCTGCAGCTAAGCACCGCCCGACCCTCTGAATCGCATCCTCCGGCTTTAAACATATTTCCGCGCCTCGGCAGACCAAACTACAAAACTCGAGTCTTACCGCTTCCAGGCCCAATGTTTTGTGTCTTCGACTTGCTCACTCTCAGTCTTACGGAAACTTAGCCTATCATGGCTTCAGAAATTCAAATTCGTCTCGCTAAGCCTTCGGACGCTGACGCAATCGGCAAGGTTCACAATGAGGCCCTCAACCAGTTCCACGAGTTTTACCAAGCCTTTTATGAGCATCCGATCGAGCAGATCATCCTAGTAAACACAAGGAACGTGGTACAAAACCCCAAAAACCAATTCTACGTAGCAGTAGACGAGTCGGACACTGTGGTCGGTTTCATCAGGTACCACGTCGTGGATGCGACGGAGCCGAGCGATGCAACCACGACAGTGGAAGCGCACGAAACTCCCGCAGTCACAACTCCAGCTTCAAATCTGTTCGCCATCAAGGACCACATGAAGGAGCTATGGGAACGCTTTGGTCATCCAAGAGAGGACCAGATGGATGCGTGCTATGAGAAGGCTGTGGACGGGCGAAAGCACAACTGTAAGACCCCTTGAGAGCCTGGATCGAGGGCTGCCCTAGCTTCGGGAGCATGACCTTTGGTGAAAGTTGCTGATGTTTGAATTTGTCCAGATATTAAGCATATCATGGTTGATCCAAAATATCAGCGGAAGGGTATCGGGGCCAAGCTTTTGCGAACGGTGATTGATATCAGTGATTCTGAAAGAGTTCCAACTTTCCTTGTGGCATCAGCAGAAGGTTACGGTCTCTACAAGAGGCTTGGGTTTGAGGACCTAGGGACTTGGGCAATTGACAATGGCCGCTGGGCGAAGGAGATAGTCCAGCATGAACGCGATCTTGGTCTCACTGGGAATGAGAGACTGTCTGAACGGTTCGCCGGCACGCAAGAGGTAGAAAAGTACATGATGAGGTGGGAGACAAGGGGATGATCACAAGAAACTTGGGACAGAGCAAACGTGAAGTGGGCCAAGAGGGGGACACCATCCTGCAGAAGGCCTTAGTTGATCAAGGCTCTGGCTCTGGCACTCGGGGAGCGAAAGGCCTTCGCCGCCCGGGTCATCCAATGAGCGCGGAGTTTGCTGTTATCGACTGAGAACCCCGCGCCTTGTAAATAATCTTTGAATAAACTCATAAGAGCCCAATTCTTGTGAAGAGACTAGATTCGAACGCGCGTCGGTCTTTGCTGAGTCAATGCTGCGAATGAAAAATCGTCCATTTAATCGGCAAGGTTAATATCAAGTTGCGAATATTGGGCGGCAATATTTTAGCAGTTCAACGACATTGCAAAACGGACTCTATCAATCGGCGACCTCTTGGAAAGCCGACGGGTGAACACCTAAGGTAGAGATGAGATGTCGGGGACGTCATCGACGGCAGTGAACCAGGAACGCAAAGCGCGTTCATCTAGGTTATATGGCTGGCTATCTCCACTCTCTCTTGTACCGAAAGTTAGGTCAGCCTCAAAAGCTTACTTGGACATGCACCTGTCAGTGCCAGATCTATCCGATATACGAGCAGCGGGTAGCGCGACGCACAGCACGGAAACAACTGCAACCGCTTTTCTAGAATCTTCGAATAGGACGAAATAAGATATGTGAAGCCCGCGTGATTATCACTTGAACGTAAAATGAGGCTCTTTTTCTCTGGTAAACATCGTGACTGCATGAGATAGATTATTGACAACCTTATGGGAACCACTTTGTGAACGATTCAAACGCCTGGTCTCGGGCCGAACGGTGCATGTTGACAACACCGATTACTAGGGGCGTTCGGGGACGAAAGCCAGTGGAGACATAGCGTCATGCAGGAATGACTCGACTTGACACGAACAGCAAATATCTCAGAGAAAGGGTTGCGTTCTTATTGATCGACGTCGAGTTCATCTGACCCCATCTTAGGGGACATAAGCCGCTATTCGGCTTCCTGCCGACGATGCTGGGCTATCCGGCGGAGCCGAGCGCGGACGATATGGGTGATTCTTTTGGGTGATGCTATGAAACAGCCCGTGGCCTCCGTGGCTCGAGCAGAACTCAATGAGTCCAGAACGACAGACAACATGCAGAAGGGCGGTTTACTGTCAAAATTGCTTTGGCCGCCCACCACCATGGAAATCTGGTGGGTGCTGCCGGTGAACCTGCCAAGGTATTCGTGACAGACGAGCTAGCAAGTGTGCAGAAGGCAGGCATAAGGCTGCATCCGTCACGTATACTATGATTGATCTCCAGTTTGACGATTTCCGATGTCGGAGTTATGGTGCGAAGCATTACATGAGCGAGTCTAGAGTGTCTCACGGGTATTTGGAAAATGGCAAAGCTAGAGCTACCCTGGAGACTTCAGCAAAGATAAGCACCTATTCTTCATTTTCAGACTGTGTTTTCGCCAGGAACTCAACCTTTGCCCATTCATCGGCGTAATTTTCATGATCGCGAGTTGGCCGATAGGCCGTGATAGAGGAAACTCACGCTCTGGGTTCGCGGCCTGGGCTTCATCACGATGCTCATTTCTGGCCAACGGTTAAAGTGATACAGACATCGCGGGGCTGCCGATCGGTATTCATATTTCCCATAACGCTTTTCTGCCGACCTGGTGTCTGATACCTAGATATGCCGTAAGATTGACCATGGCCAGAGCTGCCCGCAGGAACGCCCTACAAACGGCTGTGCGCGTCTCAAGAAACATGCAAGAGAAGACATCGAACGCTGCATAGAAGCAACGGAGCTACGCTCTGCACGACGTCACTCTCACAATGATCAAGATGATCGCTGATCCATACCACAAAGTTCTCTGTGCGCGGCGTTCGTACTCGTCATACGTGACCGTCGAAAATTCGGACCAAGTGAAAAGCCTCTGGCTCTACATGAGACTGGCCGCCCACCGGCTTAAGCAACTTTGAAAGAAAACCGGCTTGTCAATTTGAACGTGAATGATGAGACTGGACGAACAGCTTTTCACTCAAGGAATGTCCGTGTAGGTAGCCATCCCGAGAATCGACCATGGGTCCCAGCGCCAATCACCATCGCCGCCGGTGGAATGCCACGCTTTGGTCCAAACATCTGAGCCGGGTCCACTTCGAAAAGACTTGCCCAAGTCAGAAGGATCCTCACGGAAGAGCCGTGGCCAGATGTTCGTGATCATTGCGGAAGGTTCGGGTTCGCTGGTAGACACGAACGCCCACACGGAGCATCCGGGTCTCGGTTTGCACTCCCTGATTGAGTTATGGTGCAATTGCGGAGCCCCGAAAGTCTTTCATGAATTGACTTGAGATGATTGAGGCTCACGTCACCGAGGAACCGGCGACATGCTTTGACAGCAAACGGTCGGTATAGGTGTGATTCGTTACGATAATCTCCATGTTACTTCCTACGAGCAAAGTGGTATAAAATCATGGCGAATATCCTGTCTATACCATTTCTCTTTTCTCTCATCATCACACACTTCACTCTTCACTTCTACCATCTACTACTTCACACTTCACTTCAATCATCTACTCTTCTTTCTATTCCACACTCGGTCTTTCGACACTAACTTCTCATCTCTTCAAAATGAAGTTCTTCAACTCTATCATCGCCTTGTCGGCCCTGGCGGTCAGCATCAACGCTCTTCCTGTCTCTGTCTCCAACGATGAAGACAACACTTTCACGTAAGCAATCATACCTTCATCCTTATTTCGTCGACATGAATCTTACCTATCTACACAGTGATATGGCGATCTCCGATCTCGCCGGCCGCCAAGTCCCGCCTCCTTCGGCTCTGACTCCGGCCCCTCAACCCGAAGATGAGAACGAGATGGATGAGTGGGAAGAGGAGGCATTCGAGGAAGATGACGTCGAGGACGATGGCGAAGTCGACGCTCAGGGCAAGAAGAAGAAGAAGAAGGGCAAGAAGGGAAAGAAGGGCAAGAAGGGCAAGAAGGGCAAGAAGGGCAAGAAGGGCAAGAAGCCCGCTGAGGCCGAGCAGCCCGACGCCGTGGCCCCACCTCCGGCTGCCGGGGCCGCGCCGGTCCCAGCTGCGGGTGTCGCTCCAGCTCCTGCCGCCGGCGCCGCTGCCGGCGCTCCCAAGCCTGCTGCTCCCGTTCCCAACGCTACCGCCCCCGGAGCTGCTCCAGCAGCCACAACCCCCGCCGCTCCCAAGGCTCCCGCATCGAAGCCTGCCGGACCTGCAGCCCCCGCTGCTCCCGCTGCACCTGGTGCTCCTGCGCCTGCGCCTGCGCCTGCCGCTCCTAAGCCCGCCGCTCCCAAGCGAGCTATGGCTTTCGCCGCCTAAATCGACGACTTTCTATTATGTTAAGAGTATTGGCGTTTGTAGAGCAGGAGCTGGGAGCTAGGAGATAAATTGTACTGGAGGTATGGAGATAATGGTTGCTGGTTTCAACACTGGGGTTCTAAGGGGGTCTTTCTTTATCTGGATCTGGTCTTTCCATAGTCAGTATCATGCGGTGTTTGACACGGCGCTGATACGCATTTAATGTAAAAACTTTCCTTGCTTACTATAAATCACGATCTGGGCGACCATGATTGAAGTGTTTGACACAGATAAAAATTGGCCTTCTCTCCGAGTTTTCAACTAGAACATTAGTCTCGATGAAATGGCCACATTTGCTTTTACTACAACATGAAGTTGTTGAAACAAAACCATAACCACCCTAGATGCCTGGCTTTTCGTATTATCAGAGGCTTTGTTAACACCAACAGTAATCTCTGGTATCAGACTGACTCAGTTTCAATGCCTAATCGGGCTTCTGTAGAGCCTAGACTTTCTGGTCTTTATTTGCATTGGGAAAATCCGATTGTCCAAACTCAGCAATACGGGTGTCATGGCTCCCTCGAATGCTACTCACAACCACAGCAACCTAGCACGGGAAAGACGGGATGGCGTAACCAAGAACAGCAGTCGGCACCCCAATGAAGCCCCTCGTCATGCCGACTTGAACCGCTACCACGGCAGCATCAACCAATAACACCCCTAACGTGCCATGCGATCCAACTCCAACATGGCCAACATTGCCAACAAAAGCCATGGCCAACCACCCAATCTCCAACGCGGCTGCCGTCCGCGGCACGAAAGCTAATTTGACGAAGGTTTTCATGTAACAGTCGTGGTTTTGCGGCAGTCGTATCTGCCGACCCCTCCTCTCCAAGAACGACGTCGCCGCGCTAGTCGATGGCAGCTTAATCCCCGCCATGTTGCATCCAGAAAAGTCGATCAACCCTGGCAGGCGCTCGTCTCGTGGTGTCCCCAATCACACGGCACGTACTGCAAAGTGCCATTGCTCATCCTTAAGCTTTTGAGTGTTCCCCGCAGGAGCAGAGCTCGGATCATTGCCTATCGTCTGGATCACTTCAGTGGTTATAATAAAGGCTCGAGCCATGTCTGTGAACTTGTAGATGCGTGTGAGGAATGTGACACGTTTACGCTGTTTCTTGATCGCAATTCCTCAATTATCGTGATCTCATCATCGTCAAAATGTCTTACAACGAGTCTTCGAGGATGGGGCGCGATAGGGAGATGAAGATTCGCATGGCCCAAGAGGCCCAGGCGGTTATCGAGTACGAGGAGGATCCCCATCGCGCCGCTTTAGAGGACAATCCGGCAGAAGCGCGCGTGAGCATCAAGACCTGGATCGCAATCTTCGTACGAACCCTCAAACTTCATCTTTGAATCTCCCGCTGACAGGTCATCCTTTGCAGTCTATGGCCTTCTCCTTCGGCCCAGCTGTCGGACTCGCTTTCCTCGCAGTTGCATCGATCGTTGTCCCAGTCACCAACGAGCTCGGTGGGCAGGAATCTCTGGCCTGGGTTGTGGGATCATGGTCTCTTTCGACGGCGTGTTCTTTTTCTCTCGCTGGGCCGCTCAGCGACGTTTTCGGCCGCAGACTGCTGGTCCTCGGCGGCCAGGCGACTGTCGCCGTCGGATGCATCGTCGCAGCCACAGCCAACAACATTTCCAGTCTCATCGCAGCCGAGACTCTCATCGGCATCGGCACTGGCTTCGTCTTCGTCTCGTACGCCGGTGTCCCCGAAATGCTCCCAAACAAGTGGCGATCCCTTGGCCTGGGCATATTAGAGTCTGGCATCGCGGTTCCCTGGTGAGTCCGAACATATGACCCTTTTCCTGTTGTCGTTCCCGTCTTCCGCGTCGCATAGTTCGAACGTTTTCCCTGAGTCGGAAACTCTGTTTCGACTCCTGGAAATCTTCGGCACCCAGTTCTGGTGGCCGACCTGAAAAAAAAGGCGACTTGCCGACCGAACACCACACCCTCTTTGCCGTGAACTTGGAGAATCCCCGCACGGCACTACTGCCAGTCTTACTGCCGATGAAAGCCAAGATGGAAGCACGCTGACCGTTCTGGAAACCATCCAGGGGCATCCTCTCCGTCCTCCTCGGCAATGCTCTGCTGAAGTATGCATCATGGCGTTGGATCTTCTACCTGGGCATCATTATCGAGGTACTCGGTTTGATCGGCACCGCATTTTCGTACCATCCCACTGCCAGGCCGCGGGGCGACTATGACAAGACTCGCCTGCAGCAGCTTCGCGATGTCGATTGGATTGGGCTGTTCCTGTTCACCACAGGTCTGGCCGTGGCCCTCATCGGCCTGACATGGGGCGGCACACCTGCATACCCGTGGAATAGTGCCGGTGCAATCGCTCCCATCGTCGTCGGCTTCGGAGTCTTGGCCTTTGGCTTTTGGTACGACTTCAAAATTGCCGCACACCCGATGTTCCCCTTGAAGCTGTTTGTTATGTTCCGCCAGTACTCCGTGTTGCTGGTTGTTCTCTTTGTCTCTGGGATGAACTTCCACGCTATGTCAGCGCTACTACCCCAAGGGACCCTCTATATGTTTACCCCAGATGGCATTCAGATTGGGGTGTTGTCGCTCCCCAATACCTTGATGATTGGCTTCACTGGTGTGCTGGCACCCCTCATCGCTCACAAGGTCGGTTACATCAAGTGGCAACTCGTAATTGGTATGGCGCTGCAGGCCCTCTTCATCGGCGCAAGCGCTGCGACTGTCTATCCAAACGAGAAGCTCGCGTACGCCTTCGTCCCAGCATTCGGAGTGCCCATGTTCGTATGGGTTACCATCCTTTCTTACGCCATTGCAAGTCTCCACGTCCCTCATTCGAACTTAGGTGTCGCCATGGGCTTGCTCGGCACTTTCAGATCTGGCGGAGGTGCCGTCGGTAACGCCATCTTCAACACCATCTTCCAGGAGAAATTCCGCGAGTTCGCAGGTGAAGAGATTGCTGCAGCTGCCATCGGCAACGGACTCAACCCGGCAGACCTTGGGATCATCATTCCAGCATCAATCGAGTACAACTTGGGCAACCCGCGAGCGCTGCTCAACGTCCCAAGCATTACCCCAGAGATCCAGGAAGCACTCAAGGTGGCCGTTCGCACCGCGGCGGGACATGCCTTCAAGATCGTCTTTTACATTACCATCCCTTTCAGTGTAGTTGCGTTACTTTGTTCCCTGTTCGTCGAGGACCCCACCGTCTACATGACTAACCACATCCAATCTGCGATGGATCAAGATCAGATGGGCCCGAAACGCGGGAAGGTGATGCCAAGCCCTGAAGGCCAGGGTATTGAGTTCGACAATGTCAGGACAATCCATGTGGAGGAACACATTGGAAAGAGTTGAGCTACAAAGACATGAAAGTGGCGATCAACTGCTTTGATGTTCTTCAAGAAGAAGACTGACCTGTCTCTCAGGGCATGGATCGATTGGCTGCATGTAGATCATGAGTGTCTTTGCAACGCATATAATAATAGTGAATGGAGCCATTGCGTTGTATCAATAATGAGAAATAGTGCGAACTCCGATGCTGGCAGTCTGCGGTGAGAATTCTCTGGGGATGGTCGCGTGGGCGACGGATGTTGAAGTCGATACACGTAGACAAGACGGGCCGTCATCAGGCTAATTCGTGTTGTCAACTTTTTTATAGAACGAGAGTTATATACAAAAGACCAGGCCTTGGTTCGCCACTCATTATCTTCATTCCCGGTAAATTTTACAAACTCCTGGCACCAAGTTCTCAAGGTCGACCACTTGGCTTCTGTCTCCAAGCAGCATTGAAGGGTATAAAGACCGACTCGAATGCCTTGAACCTTCTTGTTGCTCCATTTCCAACCCATTCTTGCGTCATTATCCCCACTACTACGCATCCCATCTTTATCGTCTCGCCGTGTCGTCTAATTGTGCTGGCCCATTGCCCCCTTGGGTATGGCCGGAGTCTAGTTCGTACCGAGTCTCGGATGTGGGGGCTTCGTAGATGGGGTTGTGACCGGCCTCGGCGGCGTGAGCATGGGGCTGAAGATGTCCAAGAGTCTTGGCTTCCTGGCCGTAGTAGCCGTTGTGAGGTGTGTTGGGAGAAGAGGAGGCGACGGTCGAGTTGACGGTGCCGGGGCTGAGCTTGGCCATGCCGGGCTGGTCTCCTCCCAGCTCGGGGTGATCGCTTTGAGGGACAGCGGCGCCCTTGGAAGCTTTCCTACGGCGCCACCAGAAGAAAACTGCAGCGCCGATGAGGGCGACTGCGGCGAGGGAGACACCCACTCCGATGCCAGCGGCAGCACCGGATGATAGACCTCCGGCGGACGAGTCTGCTTCGGAGGTGGAGGTAGCGGCCGCAGCCGAGCCGGATCCAGTTGCGGTGGCTGATGCGGTTGCAGCAGTATTGGTACCGGTCGCCGTTGCAGATGCTACGGGAGTGGTCTACGACAGTCAGCATCGCAGTAAAATCCAAGCTCGTCTAGAGTTGTGCTTACTCCCGCGCTGTAGATGGTCGAGTAGGCGCCATCGTCAACGGGACGTTCACTCGTCATGACCCAATGCTGGGCAACCTGCTTGCCAGAAACACCATCGCTTCCTTCAATTTCGCTGGACATGAACAGGTTGGATCCTGGGTGAACATCCAGCACGTAATTTGAGCCGTTTCCCACATTGGTGAACTTGTATGAGCCATCACCTGTGCGTATTCCGTCAGCTGGTTGCTCTCCCCGTTCCGTTTTCACAAAGGCCAAGCTTACCCCATTCGCTGATATCCCATTGCTGAGACTCGTCTGATTCCGTTCTCCTCAGGCAACCGATGGTCCTGCTTGGGTGCACCTCATCCTCCTTGTAACACACCGAAAGCTGTTGTCCGACACCTGAAGTGTTCAACCTCGCAAGATAGCGTCCTTCTACATCTCCAAATGGTTGGAACTGCCATGCTTGCGCCGTTCTCGCGAAGACTCGAAGACCTGCATTCGTGGTTTGCAAGTTGTTGTTGATCGGCGCCGATACATTCGTGACTCGCGTTTCCGACACCTGGTACCACGCGTTCGCGTCCAACTTTGCGGCCACCATTTTCACCTGCTAATCTCTTGGCGCTCGTGGTTATCGTGAAGTTGAGATAGCCCCTCGTTGCTGCAGCTCAGCTGATTACAATAGCCCCAAGTTCTAGTCGGCGATATCGTCGCTAAGTCCACTGCCAGAATGCAGATTTTCGAGGATCGTTCGATGCGACAGGTCGATCAATCAAGGAAAGACCGGAAGGAATTCACTGGAAAGAAAGACAAGTGGAATGCGGAAGGGGGATAGAAGGATCAAAAGGACGAAGAACCAGGCAAACGTGACAGGGGTCTTAGTCGAAAGTGCCGACCCCAATCTTAAAGGTGAGCAGCCATGCGCGGCAAGGGGTGAGATGGGCTACACCACGTCGGGCTGCAGGCCTTGGAGGAGCGGGATGGGCTTGAATGTGGAGGGACAGGCACAGCTTAGCAGCCTTTAGCTTCAACGTCGTGGGCTGAGACTGGCTGTTTGACACTCAGCCCCTTAACGCCTCCCGCTCATCTTCTGAAGGATCATCGCCAAGTGAGGTGGCTTCGCAGCAGCGCGATGCTGTGTCATTGGTCGACGGAGAGCTGGGTACAACGCTGTGGCAGCCTGTCGCAAACCCATGAGGAAAAGAACATCATACAGCATGTCAAGCACACCAAGCTCACCAAAGTTCCGTTGAGGTGAGACAGAACAAGACTGGACTTTGGACAGAAACTGCGTGACTGCCAGGCCGCGAGACCGAGGGCCCCATTTCACAGAATCCTTCGACCCACAGCTCTACCGGCAGCGCTTGGCAGATCTGGGCGTCATTCTAATGTGGGTTGACTGGGCTTCAAGAAGCAAGGATTTACGCGATGCCTGTGATAGAGACGGAGTAGTCCACGGCGTTAGTGGATGACAAACACACAGAATCGAACATCTCCAGCCTCAGCGGTAAGCCCCAAGAAACGAGCGAGTCCACGACCGACGCAAAACTCAGAATCCTTCGCCTGGAGTCAAACTTTTCAGCTTAGTCTGTGTGACTGAGCAGCCCAGCAGCAATCACCTCACTCGGCAAAATAGAAAGAGGCCAGCAGGATTGAAACAAAACTCTTGGACACACAGCGCGAGGGCGGTGGCCGCCACTCGAAAATTAGAAGCGGGAGACCACAGACCGGGAAAGCTAAACACCTAATTAGTGGGCGCGGTAATGAAAGTAAGCGCTAGCAACTCAGCCCTGTCCTTTTTTGGGGGCCGCAACTCTGTTGCCCAAGCAGACGCCAGGGGATGCCCTTCTTATTCGTCATTCTCATCACATTGCATTGATCGCTCTGGGGGCAGAGCGCGCGTCGGCCGCCTGTTCCCCGGTCATGGTCTCGGACGCGATAAGTCTGCTCGGACTTAACTATCCGATGAACACTCTTGGCTATGCCTAAATGAAAAGAAAAACAGGAGGGTCTCCGGAGGGGATTACCGGGTCACTCATTCATACCAGATAGTGACACGAAAGCTTGCAATTCCACGTGTTTGCGTCTGCCTCTAAAGTTGACATGAAGAGCCAGCCCTACCAGCGTAGACGGATAGAAGGGCCGTTATTCGCAAATGGGCACAGCAGACATTCGCATGCCCTTTTGTCGTCCCTCGTGCCCTCGTGACCTATTCACCTAGCGCTACCTAGCGCCCAGTAGCGTGACTGGGTGGAAACGTATGAAGAAGAAAAACGGTGTTCTAGCCACCACGGAGAATTCACAACAGGCAGGGCACTGTGATTTCCTTGTGTGAAGACGATGGGTATGTGTTTGTTTGGTGCGTGTTTCTCAAAGCCGTAGAGCTTGAGTAAGCTGAGGGGGTACTGGCTTGGGCGGCAACGCCAACAGCTAGTATGTGCATGCTGTTCTCTGTATTCCATCGACCTTCAGTAGCTTTCGGTCTTCATGGAAATGTTTCTGCTTAATGAAACTCTGAATAGCACCAGCTGCAGTGGGGATCATACAGAGTATTGAACATCCGTCTTTCCGTTTTATTACCGGTCTGCAACAACACCAGTCTTCTACATTTTGAGCCTTTCCTTCACAACGACGGCACCAGTCTCGCTCTCTTGCTGACGCTCTTATCTCTCACGTTGTATGTTCAGAGTAAGACTGGGATTTGTCGCTGACAAACCAATGATCAGGCTGATCATCGGCTACATCGGATGCCTTTACAGCATTGAAGGATTCCGCTTCAGTGTCGCATATGTCAGACACTGCTTCGCTTATTCCACGAGTCTTTTAGCACGTTGAGAGTACTGGCAGCAATACATCCGCGTCGCTTACACGCCTGCTAACAACGGCGCTACAGACGCACGCCGCCCTACTACTTCACCATGAATCAACACGAGCTGCCTGTTCTGGCAATCGATTGCGCGCGCTCACCGGCGTCCGAAACGTCTGTTAAATTCTACTCTGACCCTCACGTCTCCGCAACATTTCTCTCGACCATTTCCTTGGCTTATTGGCTTGTTGCATCACCGTCTGGTCTCACTCGCATCGCCTTATTTCCGATTGCGACGAGCAGTTGCTCGACACAAGTGTAATGGGCAAGTCCTCCCCAGCTGGTCGTGGCCTGGCCGACGAGCCCAGACAAGCCCATCAACCTCGACCCCAGAAGACGAATGCGATCAGGATTGCCGCTATCGCGTCTGGGCTCATTCTGTGTTTCTCGTTTCCGTCCTTCATCTCGCTCGGCGACAAGCCGCCAAGTTTGCCATCCTCACCATTGGCTGATCCAGAGTTTGATTGGCTCCAGGTGCGTCTGACATTGAGAACCCACATTCAGCTGAGGTGCGAGTCCGAACTGGATGATGACATCCAATCGCTTTTTAGATTGTGCCCCAGGAGCAATTCATCTACTATCCCTGCTTCGGCGGTTATCAATGCGCCCGTCTGTTGGTCCCAATTAACTGGAATGATACCGCGAACCCGGCGAGCGCCGCCATCGCCGTGATCAAGGTCCCGGCAAAGGTACCCGTCACGGACCCCCGCTACGGCGGCGCCATTGTCTTGAATCCCGGCGGCCCCGGAAACTCCGGCGTCGGTCAAGTGCTCCGCAAAGGGCGCCACATGCAGACCATTGTGGATGCAGCACGTCCCGCTTCTACTCCGGATCGTCTTTCGGATGGCAAATATTTCGATATCATTGGGTTTGACGCTCGTGCTGTCAACAATACTACGCCTCACCTGACGTGCTTCCCAAATAAGCAGTCCGAGTTGAATTTTCTCGCACGGCAGCCAAGTGATTTTCTCTTCGGGATCTCTAACACTTACATCGACCTTGCCTGGGCAAACTACCGCGCCTTTGGCGAGAGTTGTGCGATTCAGCGCGGCGATGAGCCAAACATGGCTGAATTCGCCAACACCGCCCAGGTCGTCGAAGATATCGTCGCGATGATTGAACGACATGCTGAGTGGCGAGAGGTTGAAGCTCAGCAAATCATCAGCTCATGTGAGGGCTTTAAGCTTTCGAGGTCAGATCGTGGGCGAATCATAAACACAACCCGCTGGCAGAAGGGGGCAGAGAAACTGAACTACTGGGGTGTGTCGTACGGCACGATTCTTGGGCAAACCTTCTCAGTGATGCACCCCGACCGCGTATCTCGGGTGTTGATAGACGGGGTTGTAGACCCTGACGATTACTATTCCGCGGACTGGTTGAAGAACCTGCAAGATACTGACCAGATCCTCCAACAATGGGCAAGCTACTGCAACCAGGCACCGGAAGCTTGCCCTCTTGCGTCTCCTCACACTCCACCAAGTATCATCAACGCGCGACTGGCCCGCCTAGCGAATTCTTTGCTTGAAGAGCCCATTCCAGTTCTTGGCACCGCTGAGCATGGCCCGACTGTCATCGACTACGCTGATATCATGCAACTCTTTGCCGATTCTGTGTACGATCAAAAGCTGGTTGAGCCCTATTTTGAGCTGTTCAGTGACCTTCTTCTGGATCGCAACGGAACCTCAACAGCTGCTCTTAAGATGGAAGGGGACTTGACCCCTTTATCTCTCAACGCTGACTGCATCAAGGATGGGTCGTACTCCGCCGCTTGTGTGAGGGACCAGGGGCCTAGTGGATTCTTTGCAGCTATTGCCTGTGGCGATGGCCCGGACCTAAGAAACACGAGCAAGGCAGAATTTCGAGAATATTTCAAGGAGGTTCGGGGCCAGAGCGATGTTTTAGGAGCAGCCTGGAGCGGACATCGCATGCTCTGTATAAACTGGCAAGCAAGACCAGCTTGGAGAGTTGAGGGTACGTACGACATCGAGATTTCTTGCCTCATAGAACGTTCTCTGACTCAACGATAGGCCCGTGGACGGCAAACACCTCATACCCACTTCTTATAATTGGCAACACGTATGATCCCGTAACGCCACTAAGAAAGTAAGACGTCCGTCGATGTGTCTTTACCCCGTGATGGTGCTAACTCCTGTCCAAGCGCTCATCGAGTATCCACCTTGTTCCCCGGATCGGTTGTTCTCCACCAAAACACGGAAGGCCACGGCTTGCATGCCTCCCCGTCGATTTGTACCGGTAAGGCTGTTCGGGCATATTTCCAAGACGGGACTCTCCCGGAGATCGACACGGTCTGTGAGGCCGAATACCGGGCGTGGATTGGATGTGTGAACCCTGATGGTTGCGATGGGAGAAGTGACGAAGATCAGGCTCTGTGGGAGGCGTTGAATGGAATGAACCAAAACTACCGTTAGTGCTGCCAACAAGATAACGCATGGCCAATGTTACTTTGAAATCACGGATACCTGAATCGTTGTGTGCAGAGAGGTAATTGCGTCCTTGAGCGCGTCGCAGACTCGTAATCAGCTCTGCGCCGCAACCGGAAAGGGGCTGAGCCGTTGTGCCGAGCATGCCAGCGAGAAAGAGCCCTTCATCAAGGGCGAACTCAAAAAGCAATCCGCTACTCTGTAAAAGGCATTTTTCGAGACCACGACGGAATTTGAGTTGTTTATCGTGGAGCCAAGCCTTCGTGGCAGGAGCACACTCTGATCAACGCCGCTCATGAGTAGGATGGTCGAAGCCACAAGTCCCACATGGGCACTTTCGTTGTGCCCAACGGTAGCGGCATTTGTGTACGGCAGGACGGAAGGGAGGACGGGACGTTTCTGCTCCCGCCGCCTTGCGACTCGATGGCCGCGAGTCGTCGTAGCAAAGGGCGGTATCCAAGCAGCCGCAATCGCCCCTTTGTCATGCCTCAGCCTTCCACGTGAGATTTCTGACTCTGAAATTCCATCGCCAAAGCCTCGGAGCACAATCATCTGGTTCGGATGACCGGAGCTCCCTGTATTTTCGCAGCTTTGACGGTCCAAAACGAGGAAAACTAGTTTCCCGGGTTTCCTGCCCATGAAGATTTCCTGGTGTCGATCAGTGGAGAGCTCTCGAGATGCCGAACTGGAGTGGAACATCGCGGAGGAGGCCCCGGGCGATCATCGGTGCCCAAGAGGGGCTGGGGAGCATGTGATTAGACAATTGTCTCACATTCTCGTTAAGCATTGTGGCATTCTGTTTCTTCAGCTTCATCCTTCATGTCTGTATCGAAAGGAACATTTTTCCATGATAAGGTGAGGGAGTGAGACATTTCCAGCTTGTCAACGTCCTGACAGAACCTTCCAAGCCGTCGCCTTGATTAGCTGTCACCTAACGTCTGACATTTTTAGAGCTTCTTGATCCTGCAAAATTTGAGCGATCTTTGTGCGGCGCCATCTCAATCAGGGCTCGATCGTCTCTCTAGCTCACGCAGGGTCATGACGGGACGGTGTCGGTACAGGTGAATGGCGTCCACTAGCGCCTCCTCCAACTGAAATAGCTCCGTGACTTTGACTCAAGTTAGACAAGCCCACGAATTGCCCACCCCGCTATTACGGAATCGTGATACAACGTAGAAGTCTGTGAAATCTCCTTGCCCGTGACGCCTTCACTTCTTTGTTCAGACTCTTCCTGAGACAGGTGAAGAAAAGCGGTTAGTCGCGCGGCAGTTAGACCGCCAGTTGTGAAGCGTCAAACACGATGCGCTCGTCCGCCATATTGATACAGACAAGCGTGGTGGGTTTGCCCCGGTTGGTTTAAGCTCTAGCGGCCGGTAGCGTTGCAGAAACACTCCTTGTATTGTCTTGCCCTGATGCTTGAAGAAACAGGGGTTTCTTTGGGATCAAATATGTATCTGAGCCATCCATGGGATTGAGATAAAACTCGACAGAGACCTCATCCTGGCGTCTCTCTCCACTGCGACTCTCCACCTCCAGATATCCACGGTGGTAGGTGTCCTCCAGATACGAACTCGGCCTCCACAACTCCTCAGATTATGACGGGGCTCGAAACGAGTGGACAACAACCTGAACATCGAACATCATGAGATTCCCACCGCCCGAGGTAGTCAAGTCATGGCCGCCACCAAATCACGTTGATCCCGAAGAGAGAGGGCCGGCCCTCCTCATCATCGAGAGCATCTCGCTCAGCTTTGCTCTCATCTGCCTGCTGCTCAGGCTGTATGTGAGAATATTCATGATGCGGAAGAGTTGGTGGGACGATTGGCTCATGGTTGGCGCTGCTGTATGTGGACTGTTCGGCTGCAAGCTTCAACGCTGACATACATGTACAGATTTTCTCAATATCGGTGACAGTATGCGTCATTTTAGGTGCAGCCTTCTTACACAAATTCTCTTGCTACGATAGCTGACACTTTCTAACACAGCTACCCAATTATATGGATGGAACCTCCATATATGGGACACGACATTCGTACAGCGTATGCAAGGCCGTCAAGTAAGAATGCAAGCCCAAACATGTTGCTTTGGATTCTGGTACTGACAGCTCTTGTCCAGATTTCGATCGTGGGACAGACACTCTTTGTGTTTGCGTCTGGTCTTTCAAAGCTCTCCATTCTTACGAGCTACCTAAGAATAGCCCCTCTCGGGTCCACCTTCCAGCGAGTCACGCAAGTCACTATTGGTGCAGTACTGGCTCTGATTATCATCTTTCTCATGGTACTTTGGACACAATGCATGTAAGTGATGCTAGCATTCTTGGACATATTTCTTGGGGTCAAAACTAACATGGTGAAACTTCAGTCCCATCTGGCATTACTGGGATCTCACAGTCCTAGACCGCAACTGCATGGCAGAATGGCCACCGTTGGCAGGACAGACCATCACAACCGTAATCACCGACATCGTCGTCTACCTCCTTCCGATGCCTACACTCTTCCGACTGAGGCTCCCTGTCCTCCAAAGGATTGTGTTGATTATTCTCTTCAGTCTCGGCACCGTAGTAGTTGTGGCGGGTATCATGAGGACGTGGTGGACGTACTACGTCGAGGAGATGACGTACGATGTCACATGGGACGGCTTCGAGCTTTGGATCTGGACAGCTTTGGAGGCCAACCTTGCCATCATCTGCGGCTGTGTACCTGTGCTCCGCCGCTTACTCCCCTCGATGACGGAGAACGCGGATTCAAGTGCGGCCGATAGCACTTCTCCGCCAACAATCGGGTCCGCGGAAAAGTGGCGCCGAAGGCTTCACGACGAAGAGCGTGATGCAAATGGCCACGAAATGCATCAGATCACCGTGCACTATTGCGCGGTAGTTGAGTCACCCACAATGCCTCCGGCAGTCCATAGTCCTGGCTGGCCTCCGATAAGGGACTCATGGGTGAAGCAACAAGAACCCCATCCGGGAAGGCGATGTCATTTATGATTGCGAAGAAGTTTATTGTCATTAACATTACATCTAATAATACTACACCCCATTGGCTATGGTTATTTTCCGATCTTCTAGCTATCTCAATGTGGTGGCCCTTCCGCAATGTTCCCCCTAAGCTTCCAGGTGATTACGGTACTCGCTACAACCTAACGCATAGTTTGCATGTTGGAACTCATTTTGAGTTGACTTGTATTCCTTTTGCTTTCCTTCAGCTGAACAGTGTGTCATGCCCAATCTGGCCCTCAATACGGTTTACCTCCAACCTACTCAAGAACCGTTCTGACCCCTGAGCGCCCACCACTGTTTAATCGCCGCGGCTGAGAGTGGCGAACCTTGCTGTCCTGCTAGTGAGCATCATACTTTCGGCCGCGTCTCATCAAGCTCACGCCATAAATAAAGTTCGAAGTAATGGGGACCTGCCTAGCGGGCGATGTATTCTCCACATTCATGTTCAAATTTAAGGTATCTGTCCTCAACATCTACATTGTTTCTTTGTTTATTTCCCCTCTCTGCCTATCCTTTTGAAGTCGAGCTGCTCCCCAATTCCTGCAAAATGAAGCTAAGGAAGCCTTTAGTCGACGAAATCTTCGGACTTCTGGAGACCTGCGACGAGAGAACTAGAGGGGCACCTCGCGAAAGGGTGTCCGTGGCTTTGTGGAGCATGCTTCATCGATCTCCCGTTGAACAGTTACAGGAGATGCGGAAAGATCTACAGGGGGTATTGACTAGTATTGATGAAGGGAATCTTTGGAATTGTCCCTTGAAATTTTCTGCCAGCTTCCCAGAAGCATTTAGGAGAGCGCTAAGAGCATTCAAGTGTCCTCTTGACTCAGTGAAAACTTTATACTAATTGTATTCCTAGTCCAGAGAGGTCATATCGAAGACAAGGAGGATGACGAAGAGAGCTGTGACGACAATGACGGAAATGACGATGACGGCGACACGAATGGAATAGACAGCGACGATAGCGAAGACGGAATAGATGACGATGAAGATGAAGATGAAGATGACGATGTTGAGAATGAGTGGGAAAGTTGCAGTGGGCTGTTTCCAGCAACGAAGCGCACTCGACCCACCGAGCCTAAGGTCCGCCGTAATCACACTGTGATGAAGAACGTAAGTCTTTCGTGCCTGATACGTTTCCACCCCTGACCTTTTTTACATAGGCTTTTACTCGTGACAATGGAAGTTGCGTCTTTTTGGGGACGCCAAATCCTCAAGCGTGCCACATAATTCCGCATACTCTTCTCCCACAGGTTTATGATTTCTTCAGGGAATTAAATGAAATGAAAGCATGGCTTGGAGAGGAGCTCGCAACGCGTCTTGCTCTAAAGCTGTGTTGTGGAGACCTCATCATTGACACAACTCGTAATCTAATCTGCATAGACGCTCGGCTCCGGGAGTACTGGTGCGAAGGGCGGCTTGCCCTGGAGCCCGTGGGCGGGCCATACCAGGAGAAGACTCTTGACCATGACGAAGAAGGCAGCGTACAAGCTTCTTCGACCGCTGAAACATTGCCAGAGTCGACCAGGCAGGACGAACCTGGTACAAAGAGACTGAAAGTCAACACGGGCGGCTTGTGGTGCCAGAAAATACGCTTTCACTGGACGAGGCAGATCCAGAGCTTGAAAATGGAGGATATGAAGGAAATTAATCTCTATGCGGATCCATGTACTCTCCTTCCGGTTCATCTTCCAATGCCCTGCGGCCCTCCTGATGGGGAGATTGTCACTATAAAGGCGGAGCACAAGCTTGATCTGCCAGACCAGGATATCCTGATGCTGCAGTTTCTGCTGATCACGGGCTGGGCTATGGCCGCAGGGCGAGAGCCTAAACACTTCAATTTCGGTATTGATTGCGATACAGACCGTTTCTGGGAAGCTCGACGCAAAAGGTTAGCTAAGAAGAAAGCTAGACAGCGCGAGATGCGGAAGACGATAGAAACGACAGAGACGACGGGAGAGACGACGACAGAGACGATGACAGAGATGGCGGACAATGATTTCAGCGCGAAGAGCTATTTCGAGACGCTTGAGGACAAGGCATCGACGATGGAAGACATCTATGAACTCCTCCAATCCTGTTTAAAGGAGGTCAATCGGAACGACGCAGTATTCCACGCATCTCTGTGGTGTGTCCTCTACCAAACGGACTCTGACCAGCTTGGTGGAGTATGCGACGAGCTGCGAGAGCTCTGGCGTTGTAAGGATACAAAGGAAATCTCATTTTACATGGGACATTTTGAAACAGCCTCCATTGCCTTCGAACGATCGCTTCACATCTGTAAGCAACCTCTTGCCTGGTGGCTGCCCGAATCATGCTAATGAGCTTTCCAGTTCATAAGGCACATGACCTTTACGAAAGTCTCAATGGGGATGAGAAGAAGAAGCTCTGTGATCCCAATGCGGTACGGGATGTAAGTGTGATTTCCCATCTCTTCTTTCCCTATCTCCTCTTCCCCAGGCCTCATCTCCCATTTCCGTCCCCTACATCCCGCTCCGTCCCCACTCCCGTCTGTCTCTGGCTTTGTCTGTGTCTCTGTCTCCGTTCCTGTACTCTTTATGCCTTCCCCTGAGTCTATCTCAGTGGCCAAACCCTCTTATCCTTTGCTGACGTTATTATTCCACAGGCCCTGAACCGCGACGACGGGAGGTGCGTCCTACTAGGAACGGCGGACCCGATGGCTTGCCACATAGCCCCCTTCGCAATCAAAACATTCTTGTCAGATTTAACCCGCATTCCCGACTTGTTTCCAGCGGATCTCTTGCATAGAGTCCACGACAAGGTACAGTCCCGTAATAACATCCTTGGCACAACTCGCAACGTCCTCTCCTTGAATACCCAAATGCGTCAGTACTGGGCAAACGGCCGCTTCTCTCTGGAGCCCTGGGGTGAACCCTATCAAGAGACGACAGAAAGACGTCGGACGGGGACTGGCGGTTTCTGGTGCCAGGAAGTGCGCTTCCACTGGATGAGACAGACCAAGATCAACATGGAAGAGAAATGGGACGGGAGAGGCCAGAGTCTCCGCGACTTGCTTCCCCCGCACCTTGGCAGATACGACCATTGGAGCGTCAAGACGGGTCGTTTGATTCAAGACGGCGAAGTGATCGCTATCAAAGCCAAGAACCGACTTGACCTCCCCGACCGCGACTTTCTGGAGATCCAGCATCGTCTCATCTCGGCTTGGTCAATGGCGGCAGGGTTTGAGCCGAAGAACTTCACATTCGAGGACGAGGGTCCAAAACAGCCGCGGGGATAAGGCATTAGAGAGGGTGAAATTGACGAATGATAGTATTTCCAGTAAATGTCTTCAGGTGATGTATCTGGCGTCTTATTTCCTACCGTGCTTTGCCATCAATGGGGTATCTTCAGTATCCTCACGCCCTTCTGATCTCGCGGTTATCCTCAACCTCGGATACTTTGCTCGCCGCGCCCTCAGCCTTCATCCCGTCGCACCCAAAAACCTTGCCCACCGTCTCCTCGGCCTTGCCATACCCCTGTGCCGAGGCGTCGCGCTGCTGGCCTGCAGCCTTCATTGTGGACGCAGCGTGTGCCTTGTCCTGCTCTCCTGAGGATTGCCAGGCGTGGGAGCCCGTGATGTTGCCAATTGCAGCCTGGGAACATGTCAGCCTCTGGCGACGCAATGATGTCACTTTGTGAAAAAGGGAGGCTTCTTACCTCCGCGGCGCCTTTGATGTATTCGGCGTGGCCAGCGACGAGGCCGGGCTGTTGGTTGTTGCTGTTATCGGAAGACATTTTGAAATGGTTTTGTGAGAGTGTTATTCAATTGATCACAGTGAATTCATTTGAGAAACCTTTAAAATGAAAGCTACTTTGATCGCCTTTTGAATGATGTTGATGGTGATACATTGGTACATGGGGGCTTGACCCAATGACGTCAAGACATCGACGTCATCTTTCGGGGTGGCTGCATCACATGATGTTCGCGCTACAGCTGAGCTACTGACAGCCGCCAGGCTAGAACTCTAGCAGTACACGGACAATGGGCTGTGATGGTGTTCATCCCGTCGGGAATCACAGTTCGATTATGATGAATAACTCAAAATGTTGACATCAAATCCTGTAACTAGCGGATTTGCAGAGAACTACTTTTACTACGAAAATCTAAATGACCGGGGGTATCTCTTCTTAGACCTGCTCAGAGTGAGTGGCCTCTCTCATGCCATCCTTCTTATCCTCCACAGCAGCAACGCGGTCCTCAAAGCGCACACCAGCACTGCGACTGCGCCAGGCAGGGATGTCGGAGTCGAATAGCACGTCAATCTCTTCCAGCGTCTTGCCGGCGGTTTCGGGATACGTGAAGAAGATGTGGAACGTCATCGCGAAGCAGAACGTGCCGAAGATCATGTAAGTCTTCCACTGGATGTTGGTGAATGCCGGCGGGACGAAGAAGGCGAGAGCAAGGTTGAAGGCCCAGTTGGAGGCCGCGGCCAGACCGACGCCCGTGGCGCGGTACTTGAGCGGGAAGACCTCGGCGGCGTAGATCCAGCCGATGGGCGCCCACGTGAGGCCGTAGACGCCGACGAAGATGTAGCAAAGGGCGATGACGGCCTTGGCCGGGGGCCCTTGGATGGACCACTTGAGGATGTCGTTGCCATCGACGGAGTCGACTGCGTGTCCGTATGAGGCCATGACGGCGCCGGTGGTGAAATGGATGATACAGCAGATGATGGCACCGCCGATGAGGAGGGGACGGCGGCCGAGGCGGTCGATGATGGGGAGGATGGCGCCGGTCGTGACGAGGAAGATCACATACTGGATGATCGAGGACGTGAGGGCGACGTTACCGCTCTGTGAAAGTGTTAGAGAAGAGGATGCATTGATGAAAGGGAACGCTTACCATGCCGGCCATGTTGAAGATATAAACGAGGTAGTAGAGCATCACATTGCCTCCGAGCAGCTGTTGCCACACCTGCACCGAGCACCCGGCGAGAGTGCGTTTCCAGATCTTGGGTCCGAAGAGTCCCAGGACGCCGATGTTCTTGGACTCGGCGGCGACACGGGCGGCGTCCTTGACCTCGTCCAACTCGGCAAGAACCACGGGCGACTCGCGGTCACCGCCGCCGTGCAAGTGGGCGAGAACCTCGTGGCACTCCTCCCAGCGGTCCTTCTGGCCCAGCCAACGGGGAGACTCGGGGAAGAAGAAGAGGGCGATGCCGAGGATGAGACCGGGGATGCCTTGGACGCCCCACGCGATGCGGAAGGCCTTGGGGTCGTTGGGCATGGAGACGACGCAACCGTAGGAGATGAGGTACATGATGAGGATGCCCCATTCGATACTCCACTGCTGGATTCCCACGATACGACCTGCGGATATGTGAGATTTCTGTGATTTTAGAAGGATGACAGTATGCGGGATGAGTTACCTCGAATGCGGGAGGGAGCGAGCTCAGCGAGGTACACGCAGCACTGTGAGCTTGTAATGCCGATAGCAAGACCGCTGACGATGCGGCCGACGATGAGGTGGGCGACGTTCTGCGACGAGCATTGGAGGACGGCGCCGATGATCCAGATGACGGAGGCGATCTTGAGCGCGCCGCGACGGCCGAGGGCGTCAGCGAGGAACCCGGCGACGAGGGCGCCGACCAGGGAGCCGCCGGACATGGACGCGGTGATGCCGCCCTGCATGGTCGAGGAGGGGTGGTTGAAGAACTCCATGTAGGCCTCGGAGCCGATCCAGGCGCTCATGGAGCTGATGTCGAAGCCAAAGAGCATGCCGCCGATGGTGCCGAAGGCGGCGAGGGCTAGAAGACGGGGCAGTTTAGTACGTGCTGAACGTGTAGATTGGACGGCTGTGGTGTTTACCGTAGATGTTCCATATGCGATACATGATGGGTGGTTTGCCTCTGTGAGGTCTTGAGAACGCGAGGTAGTTGCTTTGTTGTCGAAGTGGTCAGATGGACGGGAGAATGGCGCGATAAAACGCTGGCGAAGACGAGAGGCCGTGTCTGCTTGAACACGAGATCAACCCAGACGTGTGTGAGAAGGGGGACGGTTGGTTATATAGCCAACTGAAGATGTCCCGGTGTAATGGCACCGGTTGACCGACAAATATCACCGAGGAGCCAACTCAAGCCCGACAGCACAGTCCCGGGAGCCAGTTTTCTTTAGTCGGCGTTTCTCTCTCTCTCCAACACAAACCATACCCCTGCTCACCAGCATGTCGTTGGTTGTCGCACGCGGGCGGCGGTGGAGCCGACATCAGGCGCAGACGGTATTAAGGCGGATACGGTAAGGCATGGCCCGTCGCGCCATTGGGGATGAACAAAAGAGCCAGAGCCCCATTGTCTGAAGCCCATTTCAGGGAGCGGTAGAACGGGCTTAATCATCTGGTTTCTTTAAGCGCACGTATGAGAGGGCGGGATTGTGGGCGGGTCTGGGGCGCGAACGACGTCATGTACGGGCGAGGAAGCCAAGGACATGGCCTGGTCCGGCTTTTGAGGTTGGGGGTTTTGGTCTGGGGCGATTAACGCGTGGAGTCTGCCCTTTTTCTCTTCTTAGTGCTCATTTGTATTCTTACCTTGCGCTGGAAAGATTCATGCTCATGCGTCTGGGATGGAAATGAGCTATGAATGGCCATAGTTTCCGGGAGCGAACAGCGAGAATTTAGACAAGATTCACAGATTCCAAGTGCCTTCGATGTTTTCTCTGCGTGTTGCCATGTGAAGTGTGTAGAGTGGAGCGTGAGGGGAAAAGAATAGGCCGGGGTGATGGAGAGGGGAAATGCTTGGGGGAACAGTGGGTGGACTTGGGGAAAATTGGGGAACACGAGAAACAGAACTTCGGACACTGTCGATAAGAAGAGGCCAAATGGCGGTCTTTGCGCCCGAGATTTTGTCTGACACGCTTTATCCGAACCAGTCATCTCTTCAGGTTTCTGATGGTGTTTCGCTGGGCATTTCATGGCTGTTAGTTTGTATTAGTGCCACTTACTAACAATTATCACTTGCTTGGACGTCTTCAGAATGTTGGAGAAGTCACTTTGTACAGTAACCCTTCACCCCTTTTGGTGTGCCTCACCGGGCAGGAATCGTGTGGTGGACCAGATGCCGTGGGTGCCTCGGGAAGATTGGGGCTCAAAGGCACGATCGGCGTCATCCCATGCCCAGAGAGGCATGGCGCCCTCCGCGACCCGCACCTGTGATGTCCGCTTGTGGCTCCCCAGGAACAGCTGCCGGGGTTCGTATGGAACACTGCGAAGGACACCACGCCAACAGAATGCAACCGGAGCGCGAAACCTGGCGTCATTCTTGCTGCTTTTCTGCTGTTTGACTGCCATTTGCTTGGCTTGCTCCGGTTGATTCCGGTTGGCGAGGATGCGGCGTGTAATTGCAAGCATAACGGTGGTACGTTCCTGCGCAGGATCGGCATCTGTCCGAATCCCTTCATATTGCTCCTGGCGCTGACTACGGCTCGTCGTCGCATCCTGCAGGCACAAACTGTCGTCCTTGGGGTGAGAGGGTGTGTAGCGATATGTCGGTTGGCAGCTGTCTGCATCTCGGTCAGAAACTCACGACAAGCTGCAACATTCAGGTAGAAAAGATCGGAACCATAAAAAATGCTTAATTCTGTGCCAATCCTAGAGGAAAGGGGTTCAATGGTTGCGATCTTCTTTTGCCTGAATGCACTGTATCGCGCTTGTTCCCGATGTTATGGACCCCCAGACAAACGACAGGCAACGACCGGTCTCGCTCCAAGGTTCACCTCAAGTGTGGAAGAACCTAACTGCCACGACGCCGCGCGGTGCGGAGGAAGCTTTTGCATCCAACTCTAGAGACGGCAATGCGTTCTTCTCGGCACTTGGCCACGGTTCATCCCCCGTGGGGCCGGACACACCAGGAACCACCGCACCAGGCACCCATAAATCTGACTTTGAAAACATCAAACAGCCGCTCTGCACGGCCACTGTCTTTGCCTCATGTTTTTGCGCTCCAATGGCGTGTCGACGGGTCGCCGGTTGTACTGTTAACGCTCTGGGTTCACTGCCGCCGCCCGCGCTTAGCGTGTTTGGCCCGGCGCCGTGGAGAATTTAGCCGTTCCGGGATCTCCCATCGAGCGCCCGGCCTCGGGACCCACTGCCGACCAGCGTCGCATTCTGCTCGGTTCTATCGGCGCCACCCCGGCTCGGCGCACCGCAGGGAGGGCGGCGATCGGCTCTGATTAGCTCGGTTTTGAGCTGTGGTTTGCAAAGTTGGTGGCGATGAAGTCTGATTGGCCGCACTCCGTTCAGTCAGCCGTATCAGTTCGATCGAGGCCTGGTTCTGTCAAGAAGTAAATTCGCACGGATGATTTCCATATCCTACGTATTTGCAGCCTATGATAACTAGCTACATAATATTCCTCTCAACCAACGGTCCCGTCCTTTGACTCTCAAAATCTCCCCAACCACGCGGCCTCCGCCTGACAAGCCCAGAGTAAAACCATGTTCCCATGGTGTAAACATCGTACGTCGGCAGCCCGGTCACCCTCTGCACAGACTCTCCGAACGGCGGCATCTGCGTGCACTCAAGGACAAACGCCCCGATATCAGGGTGTTCGTCCATCAGCTCCTTCGCGGCTGCAACCATCTCCTTCTCGATGTCGTCGAAACTGTACGGGCCCTTGCCGGTGACGAGCAACCGCAGAGAGCCGCCGTCCGGGGCGCCGGCGATGTGGCACCGCGCGGCGTGCTCTTTTGATATGCCGAGACGCTCAAAGTGCAGGGACACCAACTCGCGAGCGTTGTAGGTGATGATGCCGATCTTCTTGGATGGCGGCAGCCAGGCGAGAATGCTGGGGATCTGAATTAAGGAGGAGGTGGCTACTGGGATCGGTAGCCTCTCAGCCAGTCTACGATATTTGTGAGTCTTCATTGCCCACTCGTTCAGGCAGGAGATGGAATGCCAACGCACAATGGCTGGGCCATGGCTAAGAAGCCGCAGCTGGTAAGAATGCCCACGGCCCCGCGCTCCGCCAGCTTCTTCCCCGCGGCGACAAAGTTGTCGATGAAGGCATCGTCGTATGCCACCTTCGTCACGAGCTGGTCTTCCCTCGATCCCTCCGCCAACTCGCGAATCACGGGGAACGCCCATGTGTTCTCGTTGAAGGCGTCGCCTGCTGGCCGGTAGAAGAAGCACTGAACGGCGATGAAGCCGATAGGCGGCAGGGAGGCCTGGTCTTCAGGGCGATAGTCCGTCATTATCTCCTCGATACTCTGAGGGGTAGTTTGGCATACGATGATAAATCGCGTGTACAATCCCGGTCGTTGGATGTCTTGTTGGCTTGACGATAAGACCATTTTACCTTTATCGGGCGTCTTTATCAAGAAGGCTGGTTTTATACAGCATCATGGTGCTGTGGCTCCTACAAACCGCGACCACTCAACCGGAGGAATCCGAGCAACCGCCAAATCAGCTTCGACGCTTTTATCATGGTACTGCCAAACCCCGGAAATCGCCATGCTTACCCCCTGTGTTGGGTTGCAGTTTGGAGGAAGTTGATGTTGGGATCGGCCAGGTCGGCCGTAGATAAGACCCCACAATCCGGACGGCACCTTATCTCGACCACCTCTCCCGGTGGACAATTCGGATTCTGATATCCGTCACCTACCCTCCTCCCGCCATGGGTTGGATAAGATAACCTGTCTTCACTATCTGGAGCTGGGCCAATCACGCTCCTGTGTGGTACAATGGCAACGAGGGATTCTCAACAAGCAAGACTCAGGATGCGGGGTTGCATGCCATTCTACCAGGCTCGGTTTGTCCCGGGGAACATAGCTGTTTAGTTCCCCTCACGTGCACAATTTTTGAAGGTCGTCGGGTTCATCCGAGTCTTATCTTGACCTCACGCAATATGGCAGGGTTCTGGACGTTGTGTTAAGAGCGCCGCCCACCGGCGTTGACGGTTCATGGGATGAACACTTTGATGGTTCTGGACAGCTTTGTCTGTGCGATTCTGGCTTCACCTTGAAGCTCACAGTCTAAACTCGCAATTGAATTTACTGCCACAGCACCGCGTAGCCATAATGGGTCTGAAAGACTCGGCGCTCGCCAAGTACATCCGGAATATTAAGACGTCGCCGAAGTCTCTCATCGCGAACAGGCAGCTGATTTGCACTTCGTTGGTGTTTGCCTTCGCGGGCATCCCTCTATGTGAGTTGTCGGAATTTTCTTGCCACACCCCATGTGGAAAAGTCCAGTTGTATCCCTCAAGAGGCTGTTCACGCGAGCAGGAACATGCAGCTGCAAGACCAGGTTATTAACACAGTATCCAGGCTGGGATCAAGGCTCCTCCGCCACGATCCCCTCCCTCCCCGGCTTCCAGCATGCATTTGGCATCACCTCCGCCACGAACCCAAGCCAAGTCTCCAACTTCGTCTCCCTAGTCTACATCGGCGCCGGTGTCGGCGCGGCCCTCACCTACTTCATCAATGACCGCTGGGGTCGCCTTTGGGCTCTCCGCATCTACTCCGTAACATGGATCATCGGTCAGCTCATCGCCGTCGCTTCCTCGGGTAACCTCGCCGCCATGTACGCCGGCCGCATCATCGCCGGCTTCGGCATCGGGCCCCTCACTGTGATCGGCCCCGTTACTCTCACCGAAATCGCGCCCGCTGAAACCCGCGGGCTCATCACCTCCTGGTTCTCCGTCATCATGCTGCTCTCGCTGACCGTTGCCGCCTTCGTCGTCCTCGGCTGCTTCGGCATGGCGCCCAGCAACGTTCAGTGGCAGGTCCCCTTCTTCATCCCCTGCGTCGCCATGGCCCTCGTTGTCGCGGCCAGCTTCTTCGTCATGGACAGCCCGCGCTGGCTGTTCCTTGTCGGGCGCGACGAAGAGGCGACGCAGACGCTGATCACGCTGCGCGGGCTGCCGCTCGAGCACCCACGCATTCAGTCGGAGCTGCGCGAGATCACGGAGAGCGTCGCCAAGGAAAGGGTTGCGTTTGGGGAGGCGAGCACGTATTCGCTGGCTGGGCTGAGGGCGGTGTGCCGCGAGACGTTTTTGGTACCGGCGAATTTGCGGCGGACGCAGCAGGCGTTTCTGTCGTATGCCCTCGCGCAGTTGTCGGGTGCGAATAGTATCACTACCTACTTGGTGCCGGTGCTGAGTCTGATTGGGGTCAAGGGGGGCACGACGCATAGTTTGCTGTATGCGGCGCTGTACTCGATGGCTAAGTTCTTTTATACGTTGATCGCCAGTTTCTTTTTCGTGGATGCGCTGGGGCGCAGGAATAGTCTGTTCATTGGCATTATTGTTCAGATGCTCTCACACATTTACATTGGTGTTTACATCAAGTTCAGCCACGAGGGGCCAGTTTCGCAAGGTGCTGGACAAGGTGCTCTCGCGGCTATTTTCTTGCATGGCTTCGGCTACGCTGTTGGTACGTCATGCACTGTGAATTCACCAGACAAATAGTCGCGCTAACACTAATTTCCTACTTGAAGGCCTCTTGATTCTGCCGTACATCTTCGTCAGCGAGCTGTGGCCGAACCAGCTCCGGTCCTTCGGCGCATCCCTCACGCAATGCTTCCATTGGCTCTTCTTCTTCGGAGTTAACAAGGGGGTTCCTTCTCTGCTCGAGAGCACCGACCAGTGGGGCGCGTTCCTCTTCTTCGCCGGCTGGTGTTTCTTGGCGCTCCTCTACGTGTTCTTCACCGTGCCGGAGACTGCGGGCGTGGACCTCGAGAAGATTGACGAGCTGTTCCAGGGCCCATGGTTCAATCAATACAAGAGAACCAAGGCGATGGGCCGAGAAGTGGAAGTACTCGAGTCTGTTGAGTCGCGAAGCGAGAGCGAAGGCGTTGATGTGTTGGCATCTGGGAAGAAGTGATCTGGCGGGTGGCTTGTCGTTAGGGAGTTCCACAGCACTGGCAGAAAGACGAAAGCATCCCGAGACCGTCATATTCATAATCAATGGAAGAAAATGGCCAAGTCACAAATATGAATGGATCTCATCTTTCACATGATGACGGGACACAAATCAGTGTTTTGTCAGCTTCTCTGCGAAGAGACATCCGTCATACTCTCGAGTGAGGAGGTCTATCCAGAGACCCTCTTGCTGGTATGCATCCGTAGTCTACTCATCCTCAAGCTCTCTTGGGCTCTTCTTTGGTCTTGTCTTATCGGTTACACAACTATCGGGGTCGCGTCCGCATCCTGGTGGACCTCGAGCCTCGCGGGTTAGAAGTTCCTTGCCCGTCTTGCGAGTCACGCCTTCCTTAGACATCACTGGAGCACCCAAAACCATAGCCGGTGCCTGGAGTTACTGACTTTAGCGTGTGTGAGTTTTGTCTGGATGATGATACTTACCATGCTTAAGCCTAGGTTAAGGGCAAACCTAGACCCGATTGCTTCAGCGTGTTCGAATTTTGACCGTAACGTATGCACAGACTTTATTAAACGTGGAATTTGTACGCTCACATTTGTGGCTCCGTGAGTGCTTCATACATAGCTATGTGGCCACGATTCGTGATGCGAAAGCAGAGCCATCATGCTGCTTAGACTTGAAACAATTTCAGCATCAGCAATTCTTTGCTCTTTTTGTGACAATTACCAAGAAATCGCGCCTAATCACGATCGTGGTTTATCCGAGCTTTCACTAGTTGGCCTAAACTCTATCTTAAAACGCAGTCTAGGTATTCGCACTCGCGTACGGCAAACCCATCAAGTATTTCCCCGTAGGATATAAGGGTGCGCCCGTTCGTAGAGGGTCTCACAAACTCTATTGCCACGAATGCGAGTCGCACCTGTCACTTCTTAAGCTCACTACCGAGCTTCTGGGACCGCGTCCGGCGGCTAAAACATGAGACGAAACAACCGTACAGCGAAAGCCCGTTATGTGCCGAAACAAAAGTACAGTAATTACAGAGGGAGCGGCCATGCATTTAAAGTATCCATCACAAAACGGACCGGGGCAGTTGAAGTTGGACTGGGGTGTGCTATACGTATCAACTTGCTGTGAGATATCGAAGGTTCGGCCTAGGGAGGATAGTTTGGATGAACTCGGGGGCTGTAATCCTAAATGGGAAGGAAACCATCGAGCTTCGAGCTCCGGACTACGCCATTCCCCAAAGACCTACCCTAACGCCGCTTATGAAGCACTGCAAACTTCCCATAAATGGCCGGCTTGTTTCAAGAGAATCTCGTTCATTGCATTGAGTAGTTTCGTGTAATTCACTCGGCACTTGCATCTTAGGGCGCACTATCCCCAGCCTTCTATTCCCCTACACTTACTTCCTAAGAACGAGTCAGCGAGCATGACCAGCATCGAGAGTATCCCCGAAAAATGGGCTGCGGCCTGGTCCGACAACGATTCAGCCGCTTTCGCAAACTTGTTTGCCCCGCAAGCCGTGTACACCGACCACGCGCACCAGCTCATCACGACCAAGCTGGAGGATCATCACAGGGTCTGGCGCAACGCCAACCCAAACTTCAAGGTCATTGTCGACCCGTCGACGCCGATCTGGTGGGCTAGAGACAACGCTGATAACTACGGGAAGAGAGCGAGCTGCAGTTTCAGAACTATCAACACCGGGACCTTTATGGAGTCGCTGCCGAGAAAGGTCGCTTCGGGCAAGAATTGGTCATTCGTTGCAATGGTGCATTTGAGTGTTGAAGACGGGCTGATCACGCAGCTCGACGAGTTTTATCGGGATAGCTTTGACGAGGGGGTCCCTGTAGAACAATACGTACGCCGTGGTTAAGTTGCTTCTCGGTGATGATGACAGCATAGAAACTTGACTGCTTGTTATCACATTATGCTATTTGATACGAAGTGATATGCTAAATTCGACTCATGAGACCACAGGGGCGCTATGCTGGAAGACGATAGGCTGAATTTCCAGTGCTTACTGTGTGACATGAACATTCACATCGTCGTACGCTGCCCAGCTCCCTTCATTTCGGCATTCCAGCTTGTCTCCCCCACGAAAAAAGCTAATCCGCTGCTTTGCCGTCAGGATCAACCAAGTTATGGTATACCTCAGGTCCTCGTCCGCCGTTCAGAGCGTGCACCCTAAGCACGTCGAATCGAATCCGCATGAGGTCTCTGTCGGGGAGAAGAGCTCTGTTGTCAGCGAAGATGTCGACGATGCGCCCATTTTCAATCTCCGCGCTCTGACGACTGCCTGCGAATGACAAAACCTTCTTCAAAACTTGACGTAGAACGCGACGGGGGGCTGTGTTGTTTGTAGGAGGCTTGGCCAAGATTTCGTCAGGATGCAGCGCAAAGTCAACTTGACTCTCTGGTCCCGAAAGACTGGTGCGTGGGAGCCAGTGAAAGCGGTATCTGGCCCCGTACACATTAGCCGGCGATGTCTCCCCACCGTCCTCGGTCATCTCATATACGACGATGTCAATGTTGTCGTCCAGTGGCTCTAGAGCAAAGAGACCTTGGTCCCACAACGAACTGAGATCTTTGCTAAGACAAAGTATGTTACTTGGTCTAATGAGAGTGTTCTGAATTTTGTCTCTGTTGCGGTACAGCCTCTTCCAATCCCATACATGGTAAAGTTTTTCTAAGGCTCTGGGTAGCATTGGATTGGAATTCAAGGCATTGGGCGGGACAATGTAGCAGGGCGAGGCGGCGGGCGTCTTAGTCACCACACAGGCGGAGCCGTCGCGGATGCGTACCTGATCGAAGGCGCTGATGGCTTGCCTGCTGTCTGCAGGTTGTGTCTTACTTTGGTCAATGGCTGTGCGCTGTTAGCAAATCACCGACTGATAACCAGGAAAGACATACAGATCAGAGCAAGCCTTGCCGCTCGGAAGGCGTTCTCTAGGAAGTGCAGGAGCACCCCTAAAAACGCCTCTGGATGCCGCAGGTCCTCCACAATTTTCTCAAGCCTCCGTCGGTCGATAGTCCAGAGTACACTCCAGCACCGTGCCTGCACTAGGGCGGTAGTTCTATCTTCGAAGCGAGTGATCGACTTGATGGATTTGGATATGCCATGAATCAGTGCACCTCGCTCCGAGGAGTCGTCGGTGGGGAGAAAGCTGCAGCTGGCGTGCAATTTTTGGCCCTGTTCACAGTGACAAGAAGAGATTGGCGGATATTAATCTAGAGAACGTGGAGCTTTCGCAACAATTCGAAGGGAGGCTTTAAAGATCATAGTGTGGAGATCGGAGATTTGTCGACCGTACGGGTAACTCCGGCTATCAGGGTAAGAACATGTGAGGGCGCAGACTACCATAACGAAAGGTTTAATACCGAGGGACTTTCTATCATTAACGTAGCTATCTTCGTAGCCGTTTGATCTGCAAAATCATGACTGACATTGCCAAATGCTAGGGGTTGAGAACGGCCTGTGTTTCTGCTCCGCTAGTGAGCTTGTGCGTTTCTCCTCGCCAAGGGCTTGCGTAATTTGTCTTCCACCAGCGAGCAACAAAGGCGGCATCAAACCCAATAAAGGTACCATGAACTTCCCCATATGTAGAGCCATAAAAGAAGGGTGATAGTCTTCTGTACTTCATGATGACCAAGACCAATGCTAGAAATGTATCCGTGTCGTTGAAATTCTGAAAACTTGGCACCCAAGTGCCGGCTAAAGCGGGCCAAAATTGAGGCACACGCAACGAAAGTGCCACGGCAACTCCATGCTCCTGTTTCCAGAAAGGTTCCCCAAAGAAAATCAGATGTTCCACAAATAGTCCTCCAGCTTGGCGCCTTGATCCACCTCTATGAAGAACGCCCATGCTGCAGCCGTGGGAAGCGAGAGATTCTGAAGTATTTTCTCCTTGTGTTTGTCTCCGGAGAACTGTAGAATGAACCCAAGCACGACATCAACCAAGCCAGATCCCTTCACAATGTGGTTGTCTGCAACCAAGTGGAATTCGACGCCCCCGCCGTTATGCTGTCCCTGCACGATGATGCTGAATCTCTCCAGTACTGCGACGCAAGTAGTGAAGACTTTGAACATGTCGAGCCTTGCAGTCGGAAGACGGCCTCGAAACTCTGGTAGCACGAGTTTCTTGGACTTGTCCATAATGTCAAACACATTCGATTTGCCTGCCATGCCTCTGATCCTTGATCGCACCGGTTCGGTACGTGCGAGGTCAGGACTTTCTCCGAAGACCATCGCCAAGTATTCGGGATGCATGACGTAGTCGTTGGCAATCTGGTGTCGGAAGACGGTCTCGAGTTGTCCAACTCTGACCGTCTGGATCAGCTCGCGATGAAACTGGGATCCAGCATTGTGGGCGTCGCCTGGAACCCCTTTGTTACTCCTCTTAGTGCCCCACACAGCTCTGCGATAGTGAGAAACGTAATTATGTGTGGGTCTGCTGCCGAGGAAGACTGTGTTGACGGTAAGATCACAAAGATCTTCCATCAGTTGAATCTTTTTCATGCCGAAGGCTGACCGTGTGAGAGCATTGTAAAGATGAAGAGTGCTTGGGACAAACTCTGTGGCGAAGCAAAGTGCCGCGCCTGCGCTTCCGGCTTTGTAAAGCATCTCCAGCATGTGACCTCCTGCAGTCCAGGGGGCCTGGTGATAGAGGTCAAATGCTTTCTCGCGGAGGTATGCATCTAGTTGGTCATAAAGCTCCTTCTGGAATACAATAGGCATGCTGTAGTAGCTCAGGTCAAAAGCTAGCTTCTCCAAGCTGCCGATGGACGAAAGGATGCTCTTCTGCATGTCCTTTGCCAACAAAAGTGATTGTAAACGGCAGTTCTGCTTGTTTTGCTTGCCGTCCGCCCACAGAAATGCCTCATAGCTAGAAAGAAATATGTCCATACCGAGAGCCAGCTCCAGAGATGCGGAATTGTGCGGGTCGGAAATATTTTCCAGAGCCAGGGGCAGAATGAGTTCAGAGGGACAGTCAAGTACCTGATCCCAGCTTTTTAAACCCGAGATCGCGCGCCCTTGAATGACGTCTCTCTTGATGTTCTTGAATATCTCAACGACAGCCCATATTCGGAGCGGTTCAGCATCACGATCAGGCTTCAGCATCTCGGTTGGTGGGTCTCTCAGCGGAAGGAGAAGAGACGGGTCATGCGACATGAGTTCATGGTCCATACCCAGCTTCACCTTCAGCTTATTCGCAAGATCTTCAGAGAGCTTCGACATGCTGTGGTGATTGTTGATAGCGTTCGAAATGACGCAGAAGTGGATTGCACCGGACATGTCAGAGATTCCGAAACCGGCGGCGAGCTTGGGCTGATCGGTGAATAATTTGTGTGCCCGCCTGCAATGAGCTTCGAAGCGGCGGCTTGAGCCAAGGTATTTGCCTTCGAAACGTTTTTGAAGTTGCCGAAAGATCAAGCTGGTGAGCCAGGAGGCAAGTGGAATCGGAAGTATTCCCTTGGCAGCGTCGGTCCAATATTGTCTCACCTGAGACTTGAACTTTTCCAGATGCTAGCAAAATGGTCAGCCAAATGTAGACCAAAAGAGCAGAAGGACGATGGCTTACTTGAACTATGGCAATTACTTCCGCAAGCTCACTGAGTTCGTCGTCCTCGAGCATAGACTCAAATGGTGCCACGACGGCATATAGACCTTGGGGCGGCAAAAAGGCGCGCTTGGAAATTGTTGAGGTAGGGTCGAGGCTATCACTATCAAGGTCGTCGGCGAGAGTGGCAAGTGAAGCAAACGCGTTGGTATTGTAGCCCTTGTCGGTATCGATAGCCACAGCAGCTGGGGCAAGGGACGTGGCCATGAAAGGAGTCAGAATTGACAAGGTCTGTTCAAGCCTATTGTCTGCAGCTAGCACGAAAAGTTGAAATCAGATTTGAACTGAGAGAACCTGACCTTTGGATGAACACTCCGTGATTGACATCATCGGCACCCAGTTCTTCGTAAATCGCAAGAGCCTCCCGACGCTTCAAGATGGCGTTGCGGAGTGAATTGATGATGGAGGCGGGGACACTGTGCTTGTTTTTCTTCAAGGTCTGTGCCAGAGCCTTCGCAGCTGTCAGCATGCCCTTCGTGGTTCTGGGGACTTTGGCTGGCTTCGGAATGAGGCCTTCATGCTGGGACCAGAGCCAGTCCAAGAAGTAGTCGGTTGAGATCTTGTACGATCGGTAGGTCTCCGCGAAAGAGTCGTCTTCCTCGGAAGACATCTCGAATGCTGGTTAGCGGTGATGGGGAAAATGGACAAGGGAGGACCACATCCGAGTGATGAGAAATCGATGGATTGCAAGTGAGATGGCGAGTTGAAGGCGAAAGAAGTTACGGAGCTGTTGCAAAACAACTAATATGGAAGAGGGTGAAAGATTTCTGGGCACGTGAGAATGGTGTGCCCAAATTTGGTCCAGGTGAAAATTTCTCCGGCAGCAAAGCGGGAAGGAAGTCCTCGGTCGTGCCTTCCTAACAAACGACACCAGTTGAGCAAGGTGGTAACACTGACAGGGAATGAGGCAGAAACTGGCAGAGACGTTACAATAGACATCCATCCAGTCTTTCTCATGTCCGCCCTGGGTCTTTGTTAAGGTAATCTCAAATGCAAGAAACGAAGCCACCCACCTTGTTCACAATCAATGCCAGCAGCCCAGACTGATCTACATCTTTCTCGGGCAGATATCTTCAGAGTACAGGTCATATTGAATTCTTAGCAAGTTACTGGTACGAAAGCGAATCTGTAGTCCAACAGCATTTCCCCAATCCCTCCTGGTGTATGCATGTTCTCAACCGTCTACGTCTAGAACGGCTCATCCAAAGGCCCCCAGTAAGTAAAGTCCTCTACAATCAGACCTTCCAAAGAAACTGTTCGAGAGTTGCCGTCTTATCAACAGGTTCGAATGCCTCAGCGGCGGCTTGCAGCAGCTGGATATCCTGCAATCTTTGCCCCATTTCCAAGATTTCCTGTTCCTTGACAATCGTCTGGAGCACAGTATCGGCCAGAGATGCACCTTTGAGCAGTAGACACTTGAAGTCGACGGTACTGCGGATGGCTCGGTATGTGCTTGGTTGAATCAGTCGGCAAAAGTCTCTGAGAATCCGGGCACAGAGCGCGAAGATGGAAAAGTAGTTGACTCGCGCAACGGGATGAGGACCTTGGAACTCTGGAAGCAACTTGTCCTTGAGCTTTTCGGTGAAGCTCCGAAAGCTGTTCTTCTTCACCATGCGCATCTTCTCCCTCAGCGCATAGCTTGGGTCGACCCTGATTGGCAGGTCGTATAGCTTGCATAGAACGGTTTGAGACACATGGTGCTCGTTGAGATGAACATCGATGAGGGATGAATGCACAGACCGTCTTCGAATTGAATGGTTTTTCTTCATTACGATTTGCACAGTTCCGTTGGAGATGCTGGTCTCAAAGTTGGCCCGGCGATAATGCGAACAAAAATTGCGGTCTGGACGACTGCCGAGGAACATCGATTCGGTGAAAAGCTCACATAGCTCTTCCATCAGTTCAATCTTAGGAAGATTGAAATGAGATCGGCAGAGGGCGTTGTACATGTGCAACACTGATGGCACGATATTCCACTCACAGGTGATGCGGTTGCCAATCAGATGTGCTCGCGCCAGCATCTCGGCCATGTGGTGTCCTGCAGTCCACGGCGCTTGGTGATACAATTCGGGAGGTTCTTGACGTTGGTAAGCGGCCACGTCCTCGTGTAGCTGTTCCAAACCTTCGAGCATTGTGTCGTACCCACGGCGGCGATGTTGCTGCGGTATGGCCTTCACAGCGGTGATGACAGGCAGGATCCTAACCTCCATATCCTTTGACAACTGTATGGCCAACTTGCGGCAGCTTTGGACGTTAAGTCTTTCATCGGCCCATAGGAATCCTTCGGAGGTTGACAGGAAAAGATCCATTCCCATTACCAGGCCGGTCTTGGGAGGCAAGGACTTGTCCTTGAGCTTGAGAAATTCCTCAGTCGCCAACTGCAACGGAGTGCAGGTGTCGAGGCGGTAGGAATCATGAGGTAAGGAGTCCTTCAGCTGGGAAGCTCTCGTTTTTTCGGTGATCATGCTTTCGATAGTCATCAGGACATCCACGACACTTTTCTTTTCGAGTTTTGTCCGCTGACTCTCGTCCGGTTCAACGGCCGAAATTCGGGCTTCAGGTCTCCGGTATGGCAGTAGCTGCGCAATGTCGACGGTGCGATGAAATTCGCTTGCCTCTCTGTCGGTAATCAGTTGACGAAAGGTATCGAAGAATTGAACCGTTTCACCAAGATTGCAAAATCTGGCCGGTCCTGAGATGGGCCCATGTCGGTTGGCGAGGCTGGCAGCGAACTTGGGGTACATGGTGTGAAGTCGGTGGGCATCTCTCCACAGAACGTAGAACTTTGGGCTGTCATTGGCAAGAAACGGTGCCATGTTTTTCAGGAAGAAAATAAATGCAAGGCCGGTAAGAGTTGCAGCCAGAGGCAAAGGCATACTACCTCTGGCGGTGTCAGACCAGTACTCCCTAATCTGAGATTGCAAGGCGTCGTATTCGTGTCATCTGAAGTCAGTATATCTCCAAATGAAGTACACATGACAGGGAAGTCCATACGTAAATGTATATGACGACTTGGACAAGCACTTCAAGCAGATCATCCTCAAGGAGGAGCTCTGGTACCTCGCTGCGCTTTGGCGACGTCCGGGGCTTGCTCTGCGATTGTATCGCAGGAGGCACCTCTGGCAGGACGTAGTTCGTCGACAGTTTGTAACCCTTGTAAGCCTCCGAGATGGCGCCGTCGTCGTCGGACGACATCCTGGCCACCGAGGGTAGGTGAGTCGAAAGGTCCCCGCGAGCAACTAAGACAAGCCTCTTTGTGAATATGAGGGCGTATGGGAAGAGGTGGCAGTGAGTTGGAAAGTCTGGATAAAAACCGGAACTTTGTGCGTTGGCGAAGTTTGGGCAATTTTTACGAAGGTGAAAATGTGGCGAACAGTTGGGCGGGGATAGAAGTAATAGGAAAGAGCAGAACGAGCAGGGAGTCGTGGTTTCCCTGAAGAGAACCGGTATCCATGGATGTTCATCCCGACCTAAAGAGTTTCTCGGCAAATAAAAAGCAGATGGACATTTCAGACACGTTACCAGTAGTGTCAAGCCTCTTGGTGCTCTTATCATCAGCTGGAATTCGGCTCAACAGCTGAGCGGCCGTTGCAGTGGTGGGCAGAAGAGGGGCGCATGATGATACGATTTCCAAACACAAAATGAAGAATGCCTCACCTAGACTGAATTTTTGAGAGTCACCAATGTTCACCAAAGGGAGCGTTATGGAGCGTTATGCCTATTAACAAGTACATTGTGCTAACCTATGGGTCTATTACTCGGGATCACGGAACGAAGCCTCCCTCCGGAGTTTGAAATCCTGACGTATTTTTCATGAAGTACGATGCTGCGATGCCACCTCATCATCCCGTCCAAATATCCGTCATTGACCTCAATGCGCTGACACCACATCATTCCATCTCAAAATCCGTGCCAGCTCCATCACAACTTCCACTTCATGCTGTCCAAAGACATCTCCTTGTCGATCTTGCTGAACGCTGCTAACTCATGAACCGCTCTGGGCCTTCGGTGCACACTGTTCAGCTCTTTCTGATCCGTCATCCTGACAAGGCTGCCAATCGCAGCGTCGACGAAGTGGCGAGCAAGCTCAAGGTCACTCTCCCAGTTCATATCCGCAAGCTCTGGAAGGACCACGAACATTTCGCGCTTGGCAGACTTGGCAAAGGTCGACATGGTGTCTGCACAGAACCTGAACAGGGAGAAGTAGTCGACTGCCATAACAGCCCGTGGACCCTCGAAATCCTTCAGAACAGCTTCCTTGGCAAGCTGAATGTGCTCGATGTCGTCGATTTCATAGTACATGTCGCTTAGCTCTGTCATCAATGCTGCGGGAGTGGGTACGTTGGGAGGGGGCGGGACGCCGTACAACGGTCCAATGAACTCGACGTGGGGAGTGTGGTTGTTGCCATGCTGCCATTTGAAGCCCGAGTTGACCCAAAGTGTGCGGGGCTTCTTGCTATGGTCAATGCTGAGACCAGAGTTTCCGTAGTGCGGCCAGTTGCTGGTTTTGGCGCGCTTGGCGTTGTAGATGCAGTAACGATACCATGTGAGAAAGTTGTTCGTAGGCAACTTTCCGAGGAAGACGCTGTCAAGGAACATCTCGCAGAGCTCATCCATGATGCGAATGCGAGGAAGGTCGACTGGGGACTGCCGAAGGGCGTTGTATAGGTGAAGAGTGCTTGGAATGACCGTCTGATGCTGAAGAAGGAGGTTGCCCAGATACTGAGCCTGGTAGAGCATCTCTGCCATATGGCATCCAGCCGTCCACGGAGCTGAGTGGTAGTCGTCAAAGACTCGCTCGCGAATGTAGGTGTCGATCTCGTTCGTGAAGTAAGAGACCATCTCAAACCACTGCCTCTCTCCACTGAGACAGATCGGCAACTTCTGGAAGATGTCAGCGACCTTCTTGGCACTTGCCTTCATATCCATGGCCAAGCGCAGTGCCCGCAGACGACAGTTATCCTTGTTGCGCTGCCTTCCGTTTGGCCAGAAGAAAGCTCCGGATGCGGACAAGAAAAGATCTAATCCCAGGACGAGTGTGCCGGGTGCCGTTGTTGCTTCTCCTTTGGTGAACTCGGAGGCGGCTTGGTAGAATGGTTCGCACGATCCGTTACGAGGCTCCACGAAGAACATGATATCCTCGACGGCGTTGATTGCGCGTTTACTTCCTCTAGCTCTTTGCATATCTTGAAATAACTGGGAAACGACGTTGGAAACTGTGTCGGCGTCACCCTGTACCTTGTCAGGTTTGGGAGTCGACTTGGTGGCTTCGTTGGCGGCCTCGTCACAATGCTTGAGCCCGTTCAGCGCCTTCTCACATTCGAAAAGGAATGCGCATTCCTTCCACCAAGGCTTTTCGGTCTTGTGTTCCTCTGGGACGAGATCGAAAATCTCTGTCGAGACCCCAAACCGAACTACGAATCCTGCAGTCTTTCTCAACTCCAACTTTGAAGGGATGGTGATCTCGATCTTTCGCATAGCCTCGCTTGTGAGCCATGCGGCCACAGGGAGGGGAAGCCTTCCCTCGGCTGCCTCTGTCCATTACTCGTCAAGCGTCCATCTCATAGCGACGTATTCCTTACAATGGTCAGTAATAGAAGAGACCATGTTGAATACCAACCTTACCTTCAGATACTCGACGTCCTCAAACCGTACGCCGAGGAACTTTTGCAGAAAGTCGTCATCCACAAGGAACTCGCTGCGGGACTCAGGGGCTGTGGCTTTGGGAACACTCTCTTCGAGTGCCGCGGACGCCATCTTCTCGCAGATATTGGAGACGGGAGCATCCGTTTCGGGATCCATCACAGGGTTGGACAGAGACGCGTATCGGTTCAGTGACGAAGGAACATTTTGTTGGACTCTGGGATCGTCAAATACGGCGGACTCAGCCTCCATAGGGGTTAAGATTTCCAAAGCGGTTTCGAGTCTGGGTCTGGATCAGAAAGCGAAATATTTGTAGGGCGGTTTATGGACTGACTTCTCGAGGAATGCTTCGTGCTCGATGTCATCAGCTTGCTTTTGCTGGTGAATCGCGAGCGCGATGCGCCGCTTATCGATGGCCTTTTCCAAAGCATCAATGACCGAAAGAGGGACAGCAACTTCGGCCTTGGCGATAGCCTTCACCGCGTTGAGAATCTCTGCGCATGACGTGAAGGAAATCCCGGTTGTACGACCGGGATCAATGATGCGACACTGACACCAGAGCCACTCGAGAAAGTAGTCGGTCTCTCTCTTGTACGCCCGGACGGCTCGCAACAAGGAGCTGTGCAGGTGCTGAGGGGGAGACATCGTCGACGTAGTCGATGCGATCTCTCATGAAATGGAGGGAAAGAGGAAGGTGACAGATGAGAGGTGGAAGATGAGGAAGAGGAAAGGTGAGCGATGAGCTGGGTGGAAGAGAAATTTTCATCCAGGTGAAGTGGGCGAATCGAAGCTCTCGCTTCCAACTCACCTCAAGGCAGGAGCGTTTGGAAGCAGGCAGGCAAGAAGACCGTGGCTACCTTGAGCGGGAAGCGACTCATTCAATTTCGGGAAAGTACTCTGGGGTCCCACTTGATGTTTCCAATTTCCATTTTCTTTTCGTTTTCAAGGGCACTGCAAGCATGCCAATCAGAGGTAACGATACCCGTCCCTGGATGGAAGTAGACGGATGCATCGTTCGGGCACCTGCAGGATGCCGGTATGCATACAAACGCAACATGTCGATCATGCCACCTGGCTCAGACAATACCAGCTGAGTGATACGAATTGTTGCAAGTGAGGTTTGTGGCAGTCTGGTTGTAGCTTAAAGCAGTTGATCACTGGAAGGATTCCCGTCTTTGTCTGCATTTGGATAATGCTCACAAGAAACGGTTGGACCCCAGGTAAAAGAGGGCTGTTCAATGTTCTCCATATAGATGAAGACTACGTCTTAGTACTGCGACTTTTCCCGAAGTATTAGTAGGGAGTGATGATTGGGAAGACAAAAGTAGATGTTCAACACAATCAATTGAACTTCCTTACACTCACCAGCTTCTGAAAATCTCTTAGGCTTTCTCATACAACGCTTAAACCAAACAAGAGGCGCATTTGAAAAAGATTTTATCAGTGATATGATGAAGGATTGGTATTGATTTATAAAACTTAATATCTAAACCCCATTTCTCCAAATGCCCCCCCTTGAGAAGTGAAATTGGTATTTGCCTGTCGAGGCTGCTGGTATTGCGACTTTCCCCTTGAAGTCAAGATCCTGCCCATTGTTCCCGTGCCGATTGACGCCACCTTGTAACTCCGTTCATTGAATCCAAACTCCTGACTTGGTGTTGGTGATGGGAACGTTCTACCATCCACCCTTGCATCCACCGTTCTGCTTCCTGCGAATCTCCTCATCGAGGTTATCCTTGATCGACTGGCGGCGGCGGATCTCATCGTCGAGGCGATCCTTCAACTGCTGCCTGTTGCGAATCTCGCTGTCCAGGCGGCTCTTGTCACCGTAGTCGCAATCGCCATTGCCTGAGCGGCTGCCAGCAATGTTACCGCTAGTGCCGGCACCACCACCGAAGCCGCCGCCAAAGCCACCGCCGACGTTGCCGCCGAAGGTTGCCTCGCCCCTGGTCTCGATCACGGGGACGACATCAACATCGAGGTCTTCAACGGTGCGTTCCTTGAGGGGAGTCGCGATGACAGTGGAGAGGAGGGCGGTGAGGAAGATGGCCTTGAAGGAGTACATTTTGATTGGTGGGTTGATGACCTCAGGTTGTTGGATCGTGAAGATTCGAGGTGGTTGATTGAGATCGTGAGATCTTCAAGGGAATTGAAGGATGTTGAAGATGTGGAAGTTTGAGACTGAGAAGCTTGAGACTGCTGATCTGAAGAAGGAAAGTCTGGTTGAGAAGGAATCTCTCGTCCCCTTTAATAGATCTCAACCTCAAGTCGACCTCAAGTCCAGACCATCCGCCAAGACCTCACCATCGCAACCTCCGCGAAATAGTCTTTCGATTTCGCAAAACATCGTTGGCCGCCATCATGCACAGCCAACCAAGCAACCAAGACGCCGACAGACTCGGCCGCGTCCCCTTCGCAGTCGGCAGCGGCAAACCGCACCACCAGCTCCCCGTGCCCTACGACTATCAGATCAAAATTTTGCGATAGCGACAACGAAAGTTTCCATGTCCGCCTTGCGCTCTGCCCAAAATCTCGCCCGTCAGGCATGTCGGGACGCTCGGCCGTGTGTGTCTCCTTCTTTCCTGTCCAGCCCGCTCGGACACTTTTCTTGTCGTTCATACAAACGTCCGCCCGTCTGCCATTCACAAGTTCGGATGAGGCCGTTTTCGCAGGCTCCCATGTCTTTTGCTCTTGATCGCCCACCAGCGGAGGTCCGCGGGAGGGGTTAAGCTTTTTGGGGGTCGTCCTGATTGAGGTAAGTAGGGTGACGACTACCCACCAAGCCGCCAAAACATTAAAACTAGAGGAGGACAGCCAACGACTCAGGCACTATGCCGGCAGACAACCGTGCATGACTCCCGCCGACGCGTGGGAAACGAAACTTGGCTTGGACTTGGCAGATAAGACACGTACTTACGGGCGGCTATGTTGGGGGCGGGGGAGGGGGGGGGGGGGGGGGGACAG